TTGATCGATTTACGAAATGATGATCAATTAATAAGAAATTATCAGTTAAAACTATAACTTGACATTTTATTGTACAGTTATATACTACTAAGTTAATATAAAACATCATGTATTATAATTGTTTAACAGATTTTAAAAAATGGTTTGTAACTTATATTTATGTGGTGCGTGCTACTTATATTGACTTAAGTAGTATATTATGTTAGTAGTGAACAGAAGGTCTGGTAGCAGAAAGACAAGAGAATCGAACAGTAAATTATGGAAACAGGATGCAATTTGTATAAAAGTACAAGAACAGTGAAGTCTAGGTCATTTTGGGACAATTGATGGTCATTTTGCAAATTGAGTATTTACTATATGGTTGTTAGGTTTTATTCATAAGTTCTGTAATTTGTGTTAAATACATTCAATTGTCCCCACTAGTACTCTGTTTACTACATTTTGCGTCGCTGCCAACCAGGAGTGGAAGGGTGCTGTTCAGCGAGCGTCGTTGCAGGCCTGGAGCTGAGGTGCTAGTTGGGGCAGTCTGGTACGGAGAGTTGGCGTCCAGTGGAGTGGTCCGGCGGGACGGCGTTGGCTCTAGCGGGTGCTGTCGACGAAGACGAGCGGTGGGACGTGCGGCTGCTGGACGGACATTGGATGTAGATGACTCAGCAGGTCGGTGGAGCACGGGCGTTAAGCGTCCCAGGTTCCGGGTGGATTTCGGATGTTGTTGCCATGGCAGATCGACGGGGCTATGGAGGTTGGCGCGCCGCAGACTCGACATTTTGACGGAGAGCGTAGCACAGACTGCAGAAATGAAAAACGTGGCATGGCGAGCATGAAGTGCCACAAGAACGACTACGTCTACCCAAATAAATCAAGGTTACAAAACAGTTTAAAGAATAAGGATTATGATTTACAATTGATGATCACGGTTAGGAATTAGGTTAATAGTTTTCATTACGAACTGACATGAGCTACAATATATCAAAATTGTATTTAGACAAATGAGTAAATGAATTTCGTGTTAAAATTTGAAACCTGTAATCATAAATCTGATTGGTTCGTTCTGTGATCTTATTAATGACCCAACATTTGAACAAAAAGAAATTGATGCATTTTTATGAACTGATTAGTGGTAAATGATTTACAATAACTTATCTAGTCACTGTTTTGAATGTTAATAATATGAACAAATTAGGCACACATTTGATAAATTAACAGTAAAATGAATATAATGTGGGTTTCTAATTTACTTTGATGTCATTTCACTTAAGAGACCTTAAGTTCTGTTCTTTTCACTTTGATCCTTGTTTTAATTTGATTGGTTGTATCTGATTTGGTTTACTAAATGCATTATAAATCCCAAGGTCATGTCTTCCTGATCGAGACTTTTCTAATCCCTTGTTTACTGTCTTCATATTCCGTAACGTTGGAGATAATTATTGAAGTAATGTGTGTTATGTAAATCAAATTTGATATAAGAAGAATATCACAATAGTTTATAATCAGGTGTTACCGTAATCTATATCATAAATCACATCAACTTGCCCATGCCGTACATTAGTCACTTCTATTCATTTACACTAAACTGATAATCTTAATGTAATATCGGAATGAATAATGAATGATTTAACGTTTAAAATAACATAAAATGGGTTTAAGTATTAGTAAAAACACAAAAATAAATTCACCCCTCTCACTGGAACTAATGTTGAATACAAAAAAAGAAGTAAACAAGGAGAGGTTTGCAAGAAACTGATGTCAAATTTTACCGGTGAAATTACTCATACAACTTCGTGGATTGATTGAAGTTAGAAATTAACACCGCTGGATGTCGGCAGGCTCAGTGGTCTAATGGTTAAGTGCTCGCGCGCGAAGCCAGTAAGTTCTGGGTTTGAATCCCGCTGGGTTCGGGATCGTGGATGCGCACTGCTGAGGAGTCCCATACCAGGACGAAACGGCCATCCAGTGCTTCCAGATTTTCCATGGTGATCTAGCTTCAATTGACTCATGATTTCAACCTGTGAAATTGCTAGAAATCTCCACAAAACCCATTCTGATCATACATTTTAAACAAAGATTTGTTTGATCTAATTAATGATTAAGGAATATATATATATATATATATATATATATATATATATATATATATATATATATATATATATATATATAGTATGGGACCACTCAACATTGCACATTTACGGTCTATCGCACACGACTCGAACCCAACACCTTCAGTTTTGAACATGAACGCCTAACCTTTAGACTAATGAGTCAGCATTCAATGGTATTTGTTAACGTTTGTTGCCGGCTCAGTGATCTAGATGTTATGTGTCAGTGTATTATCAAGTTTCAACAATTTCTACCGTTTGGATCTGAATAGTGACTCACCATTGACATTAACGTACTCTTTTGATTTGAATACAGTTGTAATCGAGATTGAAAATATGAATTATTGGAATTTAATCTAGTAATTTAAAAGTAAAAACTAATCTTATTGATTCAAAATTGATTGGATTACGTTGGGATATTAGGGAATTAAAGATTTTTAAATCATAATATAGTTTCTATTGAACACTTATTTAATAATGATTACATAGCCCCAGGTAACTCCATAAATCCAAATGAAGTGAAACTTATACATCATAAACACTTTAGAAATCTATCGATTCAAGATTGAATTCTGTGTACAAAAGCAAAATGTTCCATCTCTAATCTTATCATTATCTTAACCGCTTTACAATCTTCCATGTTGAATAATTAATCGTTATTACTATTTCCTTATTACCTTTTAATTATTGATATTTAGATATTCAGTCTTCAGTCTTCAGTTATAAGGATAGTAGGTTGGTGAACCTGTATTAATCCTGACACATTGCTTTCTAGTGAAGGTCCAGCTTCTCCTTGAAAGTATTCACTGATGGGGCTAATACCGCTTGTTCGGGTAAGGAGTTCCAATCATTGACTACTCGATGAGAAAAACAGGACCCCCCTTTAAGTTTATTAGATCGTGGTTTATGAACCTTCTTGCTATGACCTCGGAGATTATTAGTGCTAGAGGGAGCAATTATCTTTCCTCTACAAAAATATATCTTAGCAACTTTTCATTAAACCATTTAATTATTAAATATATTTCTTGATGTTTCTAAACAATGCACTAACATTTTTATTGTTTTTCAAGTTGAATTCATGGGTCGGTCTAAGCTAGAGCACGACTGAAAACCTGAAAGCACTGGTCGGCCATTTCGTCATAGTATGGGACTCTTCATCAGTGTATATCTACGATTGCGTATGCAGGACTCGAAACTAGGACTAATACAATAATACGATCTCCACAAATCCTAATACTTATTTTTCAAGTTGACAATTATCTTTCATCTGTAATCCATTTTTAGTTGAGTTGATTGGATAATTTCATAAGTTCTTACTCTTAATGCCGATTTTCAACACCCACTTATAGTCTTTGATTTTCATATATCGTGTAGTTTTACTTCAAGATTTTGACAGAGTAAAATCAATGTCGAATGATAATAGAGATATCCATGTAATATATGGATTATACATTGCACCTAACTACTGTGATACTTGAGTTTATATCACGTACTAATTTTACTAAAAAGAACTCATCGGAAATCAGGAAGAGCTAAACAACTATTTTGTTCTAGTCTTGGACTTCTTATCAGGATACATCGATGACTCTCCCAACGATCGAACAAAGGACTGTTCTCTGGTCGTTCAAACAACAAAAAATCACTGTGAATAAAATTTTAGTGAAATTCTTCTTCATTAGCAGATATCAGCTAGAAAATAATTAAAGTCTTATAAAACAATGGAAACGCTTTCTCATCTTTGTTCTAAACCTACATGACGTTATGCACTCAAAGGATTCAAGTTCCACTTGTTTTCAACTAATGCTTTTAAAATTATTGCAACACTTTACTTGTCCAGTATTTCTTATCTCAAAAAAGATTGAAGTATAAGGTGATGGTTAGAAGTAGTCGACAAGAAACTTTGTGATACATTGTAACTTGATCAATAGGAATCCATCTAAACTAAGAAGGATTTGACATAAATGCCACTATTTTACTACCTAGTGATCATTCAGTTAAAAAAGAAATTGAAGTAATCACCAAAAAACCCATCAAGCTAGACTATTTATAGAACTATTTGGGTGATAATCTTTATAATCCATTACCTAAAAAGAAAATAGTTTTAATCCAACAATCCCTTATCATTTCAGACAACTAGACAGCTTAATTTAAAGTTATGATGGCGATTATTATTATTAAGTAATCGATTTGTGTATTGTACAAAAGAAAAACAGAAAGTGTGCAAATGAAAAAGGCTGTCCATTTTAAAACTGAACTACTTTTTAAAGCTGATAATTGTTATTGTTATAAGACATCTATTTAAATCATGAATAAGAAAGTAGGATAAATAAAGGAGTTGAAAAAAAAAACCCCCAAAGAAAAGATAAAATAACGTTAAATACAACGATGACAATAACAAAACTATACGAGTAGTTCATACCTACTTATTATTCCATCACTCTTTTGTATATATATTCACATCCAAACACATAAACGTACAAAAACACAAATCCCTAATTTGAATTTAAATCACTACTGAGTATTACGACATAAGCTTACATGTATGTTTTCTAAGCCTATACATGCCAAATGACAACAACAGCAACAACTAGGGGGAGGGGAGGTGATGGTGGTGGTGTGGTCATTAAGATACAGTTTAAAATAGACGATAACGTTGGAATATTCATTTAATCTTTGTAACATTTTTCTGTTTCTATCTTATTTTTCTGAAGTTAAAGAATGTTTCTATAAAAGTGTGTGTGTGTGTGTGTCTATGAGGACGAAGAAATGGGTTTTGAGCCCAACTTTCTTTCCTTACTTAGCTAATAATTTTTAAAAGAGAATCTGAAATGAAAAGAGAGTAGTAGAAAAAAGTTCACAGTCAAACAGGAAAGTTTGTATGAATGGTTTGATTAACAACCAATGAATGATAATTTAATTGATGGTAATTAGTAAGATGATGAAAACTAATAGGAATAATCAGAAGTAGTTAAGTACAAAATGATGTTTATTTTACAATTCAATGCGTTTTAGTAGAATATTTTGAAAATATAAAGGTTTTGTATTTTGACTCTTTTATCAACAGTAAATCTCATCTAAATGTATAAAGTTCCAATGTCCCCAAAACTCTTCATATGAAGCAAAACTAAGCAACAGATTTACATTGCGAAGTGACTGAAGCTAAAAATGTAAACTGTTGGGTGTTAGCCTAGTAGTTTAAAGGTTAGAATTACCTTGTGCAACTTAAATATCGTGGATTCGATTCCATGTGGAGATTGAATAAACATTGTTGAAGTCGTCCTATATTATAACTAATCAGTTGTTCAGTGCATTCAGGCTTTTAATGGTTATCTTACTGATATAAGTCCGTAAAGTAAACTACAAGATTAAATTACTTTTTTCACCACTTCACAACATCATCATCTATTTGAAGTATTATGAATACCAATATTTAGGGAAATGTGAATGTTCGCATGTAATCAATCTGATCTCCATACTATCATTGCATGAAAGTCTCCGGTTCTTTCTGGAGACGTTTCTGATGATCAAAGAATATTTGACAACAAAAAACACCCGGTTAAACATGAATAAATTTAATAGAACAACCCTTACAGCTAGATCATTTACCTAATCAATAAAAATGAAATCTAACTAACAAGGTTATATAACATTCACCATATTTTGAAGAAAATTCTTTCTATGAATATCTGTCAACTGAAGAAATATTTTAGAGTAATGTACATCAAGCTTATTGTGTGTTCGTTTATTATCAACTTAGTTCAATTATGGGATAGAATGGAAGTTATTTTATAAAGAAAGAAGAATATATATAATAGTTATAAATTATCATTAGAATTTATCAGGTTTGTATTGAATAGTGTCTTTTATTTTCATAATGAATTTGTCTAGTTAAATAAGCAAAGATTTATAATTGAAATATGTTGCTAAATGTTGTACAATCATTATGACGCTGTATGTATTGATAAATCGTTTTTTTTTCTTCGAAAAATGGTTTCAAACTATCTCAACTTCGTTATTGTGTATGTTTTTGAATGAATGATGAATGTGTCGCTCAATTTCGTGGATTAGTTGAAGTGAGACATTAACACTGTTGGATGCTGGCAGGCTCAGTAGTCTAATGATTAAGCGTCCGTTCACGAGACTGATAGATCCTGGGTTCGAATCTCGTGGGGGGGAGTCGTGGATTCGCACTACTGAGGAGTCCCACAGTAAGACCAAATGGCTGTCCAGTGCTTCCAGGTATTGCATGATCGTTTGGTTTTAATTAACTCATCATCTCAACTATTAAAATTACTATAATATCCACAAAACCCCTTTTGATGTTAATGAATCAACAAGATATAAGTAGAATTTCATAATTTAACGATCTTCATGGAAATGGAGATTCTATATGATTATTGTGATACTTCTCTTGCCTGAACTGGTGTACGTTTTTGTATTTAAAAGGTAATGTTATTTGATTCTATATCTATTCAACGTCTCTTTTCTGTAAGTATTTTTCTTCTATTCTGCAGATACCATAAAATAATTAAACAAAAATGAATGATAATAATTAAGGTATTTAGGAATCGTTTATTGTCCTTACGGATATTTTCAATCAAACCTTCTACTAAAGTTATAAATTTCTGTATTATCTCAGAACACTCATAGACTATTTGTCAATAGTCTTATTCATTATTGTGGTGAACGAGAACATTAGAGATGACAATCAAATGTATTTCAACATAAAACTACATAATATCTTAATAAAATCTGAGAACCATATAGTAAATACTTCATTTGCAAAATGTCAATCAATAGTCTTAGAGTTCATTGTTCCTACGTTACCACATCAATCACTCTTCATTCTCGTTCTTTTTCTTCCAATCTTCTTAATCTTCTTATGCCAGGTATTTCATTTCCGATTGACGATGTATACTACTTATATCTGTCGATACCAGTAGCACAACTCACACTAACAGATAATCGATATTTAAACACTGTCCTAAATTATTTGACTAGATTTTCAAACGGGGTTATAATCACACCTGTTTGGTTCACCAATATAGTAAGGTTTAGTCTTTGAAAAATTTTCTGGATTACAACTAATTAACTAATTAGATTACTTCATTGAAATCATCACCATTGAAAACATGGGAACACTGAACGGCTTTTTCGTCCAAGTAGGGGATTGTTCAGTAATACTTATCCACGATCTAGAGGTCTAAAGGTCAAGTTTGTGCGCGTGAGGCCAAAGATCATGAGTTAGATTTGCCCGTGATGGATCGTAGATCCTCACTGCTGAAGAGTACCAAAATAGAACGAAGCAGCCGTCCAGTACTTCAGGATTTTTAATGGTGGTTTAAGACTGATCGATTCATGATTTCAATGAAATTCAACAACCTCCACAAACCCATACAGAAAGTCAGATTTTCATATTATATTTACTGTTTTCAATAAAATCATTAGTATTAATTTAATGCAAAGTCACAATAAAAAATACCAAATAATGATAATCTCACACGGTACTTCTGAATATCATCCATTAAATAATACTTCATAATTATTACTAATGATTTAACATTCGACCTCGTAACTCAATGAGTGGTTTACATCGTGTCAGAAAGGATAAATTTCGGTGTTTACTAAGATAAAGAAATAGATATGGAGATCATAGTTGAAATACGAAATAGGGAAGAATAGAAATGTATCCAGCTATCAAATGAATGACGAGAAATGTTTAATGGAACAATTATATTAGAAACTAGAGGATTCCGTGTTACATTAGTAGTAGTAGTGTGGTGGGTGTTACTTATATCGACAGATATAAGTAGTATACATCGTCAATCGGAAATAAAATGTCCGGCATAAGAAGGTTAAGAAGATTGAAAGAAAAAGAACGAGAATGGAGAGTGATTGGAGTGAAAACGAAGGACCAACAAAGTTTGAAGTAATTGATTGACATTTTGCAAATGAAGTATTTACTATATGGTTCTCAGATTTTAATAAGTAATTCTATGATATTGTATTGAAACACATTAGGTTGTCCCCATTTGTGTTCTCGTTCACTACAATGATAGTTATTATATAATATACCCTTGTGGTCCAGGGTAATTTTATATTGGTTTCCAGGAGAACCAGACACCATCCAGTCTTTCACGTGACAACCCAAACAATACAATTCAACCCCGTTTAACAAGAAAGTCAGACACCGCCCAGGCTCAAATTTTATAAACCGAGTAGTACAGCTCAATCCTATTTCACAATGATAGTAATACTACTAAAAAGATTAAGTGATAAAATTCTGTCCTCAGTTTTTATTAATTGACCTAAATATCGAACTAATAAAATTAGTCAACTAAATATCTATTTTCCTAATATCCTTATTATTAGATCAACACTTACTGAATCGTTCCCCTTCAGTCAACATATATATATATATATATATATGACAGAATACGTAGTATATAAGTACACATATATTTGTTTGGATGTAGTACTGTGGATATATGTTCCATATCTGAAAGTATTTATGTAAATTATGATTAATTCCTTTAAATTTCTCATACTGACATCTTCATTTTGTTTAATCTTCTATGTGTATGTGAATGAGATAAAGTCTCATTCTATTTCTTTACTATTATTCTGCCTGTAAAATATCTTTCATATTCGTAAAATAGTCTATATGAAATATTACAATAACAAGTTATATTGTAGATATATTCATAATCCATTAAGCTTTTCCTAATAATTAGGTGGGAAAAAAAGCACATATGGTTTTTAACTCTAAATAAATCAAAGCAAAATAGATAGGCGGAAGAAGAAAGAAGGAAAGGAAGAGATTGAAAAAAACTACAGAAGAATATAGACGGGTACTCACTGGCTCACTCACTCACTCACTCACTCACTTCCTCACTAGACAACAATCAAATTAAACTTACAACTAACTGATCAGCTGATTAATTTTGATTAATCCTTATTGAAAGATAAATAAAACAAATCAACAGCTGACAAACAAACGTTTACATATTTATATATATTCATTTGCTTCAGGCTGTAAATTATGTAATTTATAGTATTCAATGTATTCTACATATTTCTTATATTAATTGAACTTCATGGAAATATGAATATATGAAGTCATCATATTGATACACAGTTATTTGGATCTTGTAAAAACATGGTGAAATACATATCTTCTTCATTTATTAGATGTTGAGTTTTATTGAGGATGGTTTTTCTTTTTGAAATTCCACTATAAATGACTAGTTTCTGGTCTCAGTCAGTATCGAGATGTAATGAATAATGAAAAACCATTAAAATGATTTCTGTAAGACGATTTAATAGTAATGTAAGGTGACTACAGTCAATTGATGAGAAGTCCTCGATCTAAGTTGTATATAAGTTTATATTTATGAAGATTTATTATCTGAACTATATAAAGTGATTGTTTTACCGCCCACCATCTAAGACTCAAACCAAATTTATAGTCAAAGACGTTACTAGTAATATATGCATTGTTTTCTTTATTGTTAATTTTTAAGTAATAGAACTAGTTTTGTAATGGAATACGCTTGACTTTTTAATGATTTTTCAGTTTATATCAGTTCATGATAAAAACTAAACCAAGAGAGAAATTTCTGCACAAAATTCTTGGATTAATAATAATCAGAATGGGGATTTATGGAGATTGTAGTGATTTTTTACAGTTGAAGTCATGAGTCGATCTAAGTTAGACCACCATTAAAAACTTGTAAACACTGGATGGCAGTTTCATCCTCGTACGGAATAACTCAGCAGTGTTCATTCAGGATCCCTCATGCTCAACTCGAACCCGGAACCTTTGGTCTCACACGTGAACACAACTTCTAGTCCACTGGTATTCAACGATGTTAATGTCTAACTTCAGTCGATCCCTTTATTTATTTTAGGGCAAAAAGGCCATCTGATATTTCTAGGTTTTCACTGATGGTTTAACTTAGATTGACTCGTGAATTCAATTGTTAATAATAAACATCTATATAGATTTCAACGGAGCTGGATTTTCTAGGCTGAGTGATGTCAATACAAATCTGAACGACATTATGGGCAAAAACTTCAGATATGGATGAGATATTCGAATTTTTCCACAGATTCCTAACAACTTGTTCAACCGATATAGAATTTGACTAGTTGATTAAAATTGACCAATTAAAATCATGCTGATAATATGATCTAATTGAACAATAAATGATTTACAATTAAGCTGTCTAGCTCAAAGAACGAATATACGTTTAAATCATCCACCTGAGCTAATAAATGTTCCTTGGTTTTTATTCGTTTTCCAGTTGGTATCATTTAATAATTTTCTTCAGAAAAATAATTAAGCATCAGAGACATCGAATACAAAATTATAATCACTTGGTATTATTTGCATGTATCTTCTGATTGTTGTTTAGGACTGCAATTGATTAGTTACAAGTATCCTATACGAACTGTCTCGAAATTGCCTTAAGTCATAAACACTATCAGCAAATATGGATGATGGCTATCAGTGAAATAGAAGCCGCATGTTTCGTTCTATTTGGGACTCGTCAGTTGGTTGTACCTGCGTCCTGGATTCCACTGCTAGCCACCATCCATCTTTGCTGATAGTGTTTATGACTTAAGGCAATTTCGAGACAGTTCGTATAGGATGCACATATGTCAACAAGAGACTGATCACTTGTAATCCTAAATAAAAATGAGAAGGTACAAGTAAATAATACCAAGTGAATTTAAACTTCATCACATTGCACAAGCAAGTGGCTATCAGAATTCAGTGGAAAACACGATGGCGTTTGAGGCTAACGATATTGAGTTCGAGTCTCAGAGCGATCATCAACTGTGGAATCCAGGTACATCCAGCTCATGAGTCTCAAGTGGGATGAAACGTACTTCCTAGATTCCACTGCTAACTACCATCCATAATTACTTATAAAAATATATTTTTACCTAATTAACTGTATAGTAAACAAATCATCCAAATCATAATATGAATCATTGATCTACTTGTGTATTTACAGTGTATATGGACGTGTGTATGTGTGTGCCTCGGTAGATCCATTATTTTTGTAAAGTGGAAATATTCAGTGATGAAAATTTTATTAGTGGTCCAATATGTTTTTTTCGAAATACTTTATTTTCGTACGTATGAATTCATAAAGATTCATACGTTCAAAGCAGGCGCCAATAAAAAGTATTTTACAATAAACTAAATCTATTCATCACTGTCACGTTTTCAAAAGTTTTCTAGTCAAGAATAATAAAAATCTTTGTAAAAGACATCAACAGTAAGAATAAAGGTTGAAGTTATCTGGAAGGTTTTCAATGCTCAACACGTGTATAATATCTGGCATTTCTTTTTAAATCAGAAGGGGTTTGTGGAGAGTTTTAGAAATTTTCAGATTGAAATCATTAGTCAGTTGAAGCTAGATCACCATGGAAAACCTGCAAGCACTGGACGGCCGTTTCGTCCTAGTATGGGACTCCTCAGCAGTGCGCATCCACGATCCCGCCTCTCGCGGGATCCGAACCCAGGACTACTGGCTTCGGGCGCGAGCACTTAACCATTAGACCACTGAACCTGCTGGCATCCAACGGTGTTAATGTCTAACTTCAACCAATCCACGAAGTTGCGCCATCGTACACCATCGTGTTCAGTGAGCTGATATCTCACAACAAACCTGGTTGAACTGCACTGTGAAAATTTCTAAAAATCTCCACAACCCCTTCTGATAATAATCATCTGCTCACTAGTGACTGACTTCAAGAGATACTCCTGTAGTTCTAGTGGGAAGCCATTACCAGTGCTGTTTATGCTGATGATGTCGTTCAGAAGAACGATGAAAGCTCCACAATCAAACCATCCAATTCAGAGAACAAAACTCCATCAAAAAAAGCTGATTGATATAAAATAAATAGAGAACGGTGGGAAAGGGGAACAGAATTAACAATATATCCTGAATATAATGAATAAATAATAAAGGCATTCAATAAAATGTTTTATACAATATGAATTATGCTTTCTCTATACAAAATGTATTTCATTGCTAAACACCTACCGAAATAGATTACAAATGAAAGTTTACATTACATTAATTTAATTAAATATACATATGTAAGTGTGTATTGAAGTGAAGCATAAAGATGGTTAGTACATAGTAGATAGTAATTCATTATTAGATATAATCTAATCAAAATTGAAATCATCTACTTTATATAACATTCTCCCGGTTAAAATAAAGAGGTCGAATTAGGAGCAGCTGTCTCAACATTCATAATAATAATAATAATAATCTAAGGAATTTAATAATAAACTTAGTTTTTTATTATGATCTAAGCAGAATAACAATGATTGTAGTCGAATAGTAAAATAGCCTATGAATAATTAATTAAAATTCATCATTCAAGAAAACAATTTACTATTTGGCCTAAAACTATACAATAAATATAACAGTAATAATAATAATATAAATAAAAATAATATATTTGTAATATCACAATGAGTAGAAAATTGGATTTTCTGACGTTTCGTGACTTAGTGTAAGTCGCTTCTTCAGAGAGAAAAATAATAATAATATAGTTTAATAGTAAATAAATGTTAATTCATATGTCATATTTATATATTTGTAGTTCATATTAGTTTATTGAATGAATGAAAATTAAATGAAAGTAAGAAAATTAATTAATATGAAGATAGTTTCATTAAAGAACTGAGATAAATTAGATGATGACTGATATCTATCTATCTATCTATCTATCTATCTATCTATCTGTGACAGTGAATCGAGGTCATGTATATTTGATTGACATAAAAAGTAACATCTTCTTTCATACTAAACATCTAACTTACTTTCTAGTTCTAACTAGCATAATATCCAATTCAAATAAAGTTCTCTTTTAAGTCTCTACAACTATCTAACATGATTAATATTATGCTGTTCTATGTATGTTCATTAATAATAGTGTTTACATTGAACATTGATTGATTGAAATCTATCAACATATAGGATACTAGATAAACGTAACAATGGATTGTATTGCAGTGAACAAGAACACCAGTTTGAATAATCGAATTTTAATTTAGCACAAAATTGCAGAGCATCACACCATAATCTGAGAACCATATAGTAAATCGTTAATTAACAAAATATCAATCCATCATCTCAAACTTCACTGTTCTTTATACAAATATCATCCAATTGTCTCAGATTTCATTGTTTATGCATTTTCATATCAATTGTGTTCTATCTACATTCTTTCCTTATTGATCTTCTACTGAAATACATTCTATGCCTGATCACTATTATATACTACTTATATGAATATAAGTAACCCACACACCACAGTATTACATGATAAATCACTATGAGAAATAGTTATTTTTTTAAAATGAAAATTATATGTATCAATAAAAATCAAATCATCATCATTCATGTAGAGGATTGCAAAATAAGTCAACTGGTAATGCATGCATATATGTGGGACAATAAACAATGTTGTCTCACATTGATAGATAAAGATAAATTTGGATGATACTCTACAAGTTATGCATACATAACTAAGATATTTTTCCTATTGTATTTATTCCAAGGCACACAATTTTTTTTGAAAAAGAATAAGAAGATTTGTTAAAAGAGAGTTTTTATTGTTACCTGATACAATTATTCTACATTTCAATGATTGAGATCATGAGTTAGTTGAAGCTAGATCACCATGGAAAACGGTCTAGTGCTTTCAGGCAATGGAAACCGAATCATTATTAATTCACATTACTTTTTAGAACTTTTTTATGTTGCTATTACACTTTTATTTATTTAAATGATTAAGTCGTTATATGTTCAATTGTTATTCAATAGCTCAATTAGTTTAAAGGATTCTATGGTTTATTTATTCAATTAAAATAATCCATAACGTCGTTGAATCAGAAAAAAAGAATTTAGCAAAGAAAATTTACTTTTCGACGAAATCGTTTACTTAAGCTGTACATTCGTATATATGGAAAATGTATATCTATAGGAGGATAGAGAAAATTGCATCACCAAAATGGATTCGAGAATAAATAACAAATGAGGTAACTTACTAACCCATAAATGATTTTCTTCCTTACCACTTGATTAGTATGTAACCTCATTTGTTATTTATCCTCGAATCCATTTTGGTGATGCAATTTTCTCTATCCTCCTATAGATATACACTTTCCATATAACTAAATATACGAATGTATAGCTTAAGTCAATGGTTTATTAATTTATTTATTTATCCATTTATTTATCTTTTAATCATTTCGACATGGAAATTTGTTTTAATTTACTAATTTATATTAAAGTTATTTAAAAAAATAATTGAACAGATTTAAATGATTGTTTACAATCATCATCATCATCATCATCATCATCATCATCATCATCATCATCATCATCATCATCATCATCATCATCATCATCATCATCATCATCATCATCATCATCATCATCATCATCATCATCATCATCATCATCATCATCATCATCATCATCATCATCATCATCATCATCATCATCATCATCATCATCATCATCATCATCATCATCATCATCATCATCATCATCATCATCATCATCATCATCATCATCATCATCATCATCATCATCATCATCATCATCATCATCATCATCATCATCATCATCATCATCATCATCATCATCATCATCATCATCATCATCATCATCATCATCATCATCATCATCATCATCATCATCATCATCATCATCATCATCATCATCATCATCATCATCATCATCATCATCATCATCATCATCATCATCATCATCATCATCATCATCATCATCATCATCATCATCATCATCATCATCATCATCATCATCATCATCATCATCATCATCATCATCATCATCATCATCATCATCATCATCATCATCATCATCATCATCACTATTGCCTAACCCAATCTCTTATATATCTATCTATTACAGTTTTTTCGCTGTCTAATTTACTGAATTATCAGTCGGTATCTACATATATTACTGATATATATATAATTGTTACTATGTTTAATCAAATAATAATAATACATTTGGCTTTTTTGTTTTAACTCTAATTTTACTAGGTAAATCGTAGCTGTGATTAGGATTGTTTAAATTATCTAGTTCAATGGTTTTTGTAAATCTTAACAATTATATTTTTGAACGAAAATGACAATAATGTTATTTGTGGGGGGGGCATAGACTTTATGTATCTGTATGCTTGTTTCAATGTATCTTGGCGTGAGTCTATATTTAATTCATTTAAGAATGGTTCGAAATGCTCTTAAGCCTAACATGAATTGTTTTTATTTCTACTGAAGAAACTTATATTGATGAAGTAAATTCATTGTGTTTTTTTTTAAGTTCAGACAAGGTAGAACTGAAAGATTATAGATAAATGCATATAGATTTGTGATGGTGGAGAAGATTTGTAGCTCAGCTGGATGATTTTGATGGAGTTTTGTTCTCTGAGCATATAGATTTGTTTTTTTTAATTGGTTGTTCTTTTAAGAAACGTTAATAATTCCAGGGGAAAATTTTGAAGAAGCCAGTAGAGATCTTAAGAAAAAAAAACATTTCAATGACACAGTATTCTGTGCAATTTTTTACGAGAAACCTAGAAAATAATTGATTATGGTTGTTTGACACTGATTGAATAATTACCAAATCGATTAATGAATTTTTAGTATGTTCTTCGTAAATGTATTAGATCTTAACGGCCACACAGTTCAATAAACACACTCGTGTTTTTCTTGGGGACGTTAGATCTCCAGAACTCACTTGAAAATCCACCTAATTTTGTAATTTTATGTTGAAAATTTGAATTTCTTTGTTTTCGCGAAAAGGTGCTCTTGTCATTTTCACGTCTTATTTCCCACTGGGAATTATCTTAAATGCTATCGGTCCGTTGCGTCTTTTAGCATGCTATTTGGTAATTCTCCCAAAGGACGGTTTTGCACTGTATATATACGTTTTGAATTGCGTTTGTTGTGATCGCTCGTATCTGGCTGTTTTGCAGAATATAATTCCCATTCCAAGCTTGTACTTCTCGCTCTAGTTAGCGGGGCTGGGATGCATCAATAGTTAGCCTATTGGATTTTGGTCACCGAGTGTTGTTCTCGATCGCCGATAAAGTGAACTCGTGATAGGTTCAAGCCTAGCAGTTTCATACATAATCTAATATTTACATTAAAATTTCTTCTGAACTTTCTATATTTTTCTTATTGATTTAAAACTCAATAACTTTTGGGGTCTGGGAATCGATTAAAAAATAGTCGTCTAAGCTTTCAAGTGGAATATTCACCGTCATCAAGTTTTGGTAGCATGTTCTAGCACAGTAAAATTAGATAAGCTTCCATGTTTGGATGAAATTTACTCAAAGACATGGTGGTACGAGATTAAGTTTTATTCTTGCATAATTAGCCTGTGAAATCCCAGCAAACGATTCATAGATAGTTTTCAGTCTATTAATAACTAGAGGTCCATTGAAAACCAATAAAGCAGTAGATAATTATTTTATCCTAAAACGGTAAGTCCCTACATGCTCAAGTATGACAGTGGACTGAAGGTATCATGTTTTCCAAAAAAATGTCTGATAATTCCGTGTTCGATTTTGCATATAATCCTTCAGAGTTTGAAACTTAGGCAGCAACAGGCATCCAAATGTTTTCTGCACTTTGCTGATCCCTAAAATGATAGCAAAATTGGTGATATGATCTTGTTTCAGTTTATGTGGTTAGGTATGTAGCTGGTAATAATTCAGTGCAATTTATCGAAAAATAAATATGCGTAATGTATTCATACAACAAACCATCTCTGGATACATAATGCTAAGTAAGACAGTATTTAAGAAGGTTTTAACCAATTTAAAAAAATATCTTGAAAAGTTTGTTGTTTGATGTCATCCACTTGTTACGACAATCAAGAATAATGTTCATAGTATATATAAACTTTATAAATTTCTTAAATGCCCACTATCATGTCAATCTTGTAGAATCTGTTAGATTACAGATAGTCGTTAATGTTTTAGGGAATAAGTAATGTTAAAGATATAGGTCAAATTACTGATGTGACACTAATACTGTGAGTAAATTATAAATTCGTTCTTTATTCATTAATTTCAATTATCGTTAATAAATCAAGATTTATTACTATGTCGCAAACAAACCTATCATGATGAAAGATGGGTGTTAGCTAGAAAAGAAATCAAGGAAGCGCGTTTCGTTCTATTTTCAACTCGTCAGCTGGATGTACTTGCATGGCACAATTGATGTTTACTCCGAGACTCGAGCTTAGTACCATTAGCTTTGAACGCCATCACTTTATCTACTTATCAACTGAGTACTGATAGCCACTTACTTGTGCAATGTGATGAAGTTTAAATTCACTTGGTATTATTTGTTTGTATCTTCCCAATGTTATTCAGGACTGCCATTATTCAATTTTCGCTCATATCATTATTTCAACTCTTAAGTTTACTTCGTATTTACAAAGAAATTCGTTAATCTGTTATGCTTATAGAATTGATTGTATCTCATGTCACTGCCTAGTAAAATTAATACTTAAATCAGAAATTTTGTGGAGATTTGAATAATTTCAATAGTTGAAATCATGAGTCAATTGAAGCTAGACTACCATGGAAAACCTGGAAGCACTAGACGGCTATTTCTTTCTAGTATGGGACACCTCAACAGTGCACATCCACGATCCCGCTCTACCTGAGATTTGATCCCAAGACCTATCATTTTCACGCGCGAGCGCCTAACCATAAAACCACTGGGACTTCCGGCATCCAACAATGTTGATGTCTAACTTCAAACAACCCACAAGATCGCGCCACTGTACACCATTGTCTTCAGTGAGCTAATATCTCACAAGAAACCTGATTGAAATACACAAGTCACGGCTTCTCACTAGAACTCTAGGAAATGCCCCTTGAATTCAATCAGTAGTGAGCAGATGATTATCATCAAAAGTTATATAAAGATTTTATCAATTTCAATAGTTGAAATGTTGAGTCAATTCAAACTGTATCACCATGAATATCTAAAAACAATGAACGATCGTTTCGTCCTGGTATAAAACTCTTCATCAGTGCTTGTCCACAATCCTGCTCTCGAGATTCAAACCTATGACCTATCAATCTTGTATGCAAACTTTCAACTTTTAAATCACTAATTTAAACCTTCAATAGTATTTATATTTAATTTTAATGAATTTAGTTGATAATTTAAATTATTAATTAACTTTCTTCTCATTATATATTTTTTTTAAAAATTAGATTGTCCATCATTCATAAACTGTGATATAAACCAATGAAGTTAAAAATTATCAAATTATTCTATTATTACTATTATTATCATCATCAATATTTATCTTATCTTATTCAAATTATTATTCAATATGAAAAATATTTTAATTATTCAATAATCAATTTATTGATTCAATTGATCATCATTATTGATTGGATTCATTTGATTCTATTAATCAATATTATTATTATTTATTCATATTTCACATTCAATTATCAAATTGAACACTATAATATACTTGAAATAATCTTATATAGATTTATATTATTCATTATTGATTTATATAATAATAAAGGTTTACAATCCATTACTACTACCAATACCACTACTACTACTACTACTCTTATAATTATTATTAGTAGTATTATTAGAAGTAGTAGTTCCATTATTTTCTATCATTATTCTTGTATAAAATCATTATGTTTATTAAAATTATGTTTATAGAATGGTTATGGTGGAGATGGTATCATTATAAATATTGGAAATCAATTATTCTAATCTATATTAAATGGATTATTTATATGGATTTATTGATTTTATTATTTAATTTAAATAAAATTGAATCAAATCTGTCTTTCAATAATAACATATCGATTAATTTATATCATAATAATAATAATAATAATCATATAAAAAATCAATATATTATTGATCATCATCAACATCATGATCCTTATAATAAATCAAATATACAAATTATTCATAAAATTAAACGTCGAAGTCATTCAAAACAATCAGAACATCAGCAACAACAACAGCAACAACCAATTACAAATTATTATGAACCTGAAGAAATTTTATCACCAGATTATACATTACCATATCAAGATATAAAATGTATGGAATTTATTCAATCCACTGAAATTAAATATATAAAAGATTCATCATCAATGTTAAATGGATTTTTTGGTATGTCTAATTTACCAAAACGTACAATTGAATATAGTTTTCAAACACCAAATTATCCAGCACCATATCCATTAAATATTGAATGTATTAAAGTAATTGCTGGTAAGTTTATAAATGAATGAATGAATAAATTTATTATCAGAAGGGATTTGTGGAAATTTTAGAAATTTCACAGATTGAAATCATGAATCAATTGAAGCTAGACCACCATGGAAAACCTGGAAGCACTTGATGGTGGTTTCACCCTAGTATGGGACCCCTAAGCAGTGCGCATCCATGATCTCGCCCTTCCTGAGAATCGATCCCAAGACCTGTCAGTCTCGTGCGCGAGCGCCCAACCATTAGACCATTGAGCCTGCCGGCATTCAACGGCGTTAATATCTAGCTGCAACCAATCCAAGAAGTTGCGCTACCGTACACCATTTTCTTGAGTGAGTTGTTATCTCACAACAGACCTGGTTGAACTCCGCTGATAACGCCTTCTCACTAGAACTCCAGGAGTATCTCTTGATTATTTATTATTAGTATTTTATTACAACAAAAAAAAAGAATTTTAACAGTTAAATTCATGAGTCAGTGTAAGTAAGACTTTAGTGAACCTTGATTTAGACATCAATTAGATCGGATGATGATCGTGATATGGCTCACTATGTGAGTCAACTCCATTTAGTCAAGCGTTAATCAATATTTATAGTTACAAAAAATTAAGCTATAGACATGTGAGGAGGAGGATTAGAAGGGTACA